ATGGTAAACTGATTGAAGTGGTCGAGAATGAAGTCAGTTTGTATCAGTATATGTATCCAACAGAACTAGCGTCAAAGGTTCGTCTCTCTCTTTTTCTTGAATTCGATGTTTCAAGTGTGTCACATCAAAATGAGAAAGTGCGCGTTTTGCAAGAATATTCTTTCAAAATACAAATCCAGTGATCGATCGAAAAGACAAGTTTTGATCGATAACACGTTGGCGATCATTTTGTTCAACAAATTTAAGTACTGTTTCAGAACACACTGGCCGTGATCGGTCTCATTCAACCGATTGGTTCAATAATGCCAATATCAGAAATGCAATGCCGTGTATTTTGTGAGGTATTGCGCGGTAGAACAACACTTCCAACAGCGTTTGAGATGCAGAAGAATATCGATGAGAAAAGGAAAGCGATGGAAAAAGAATACGTTGTTCGAAGAAGGCATACCATACAGGTTCACTGTTGCTGTTTACGGATCTTGCACACATTTGCTCATTAGGGACGCATGAAATACCATCAAGTACTGAACAGAAAATCACTATCCTGGTGTATTATCAAGTGCACTGATTGTTTTTGCTTCTAATCAATGTCATGCGATTAAGCTTATTGCGATTCAAAGAGTGAAAGTTTCCAGAGGAGTCATACAATCTCTGTCGATCGAACGCAACGGAAAAAACATTCATAAGCATCAACAAAATGAATACTTTTTATCGATATTCCGAGGAAATAGTTTTTGCGCTCACTTTCCTCTTTCTTAACTTTTCTGGTATTGCTAACTTCACATGCTTTTCAGGTCTACTATGTTGAATATATGGATGAATTAGCAAAATTAATAAATGTCAAACCGAATCTTTTTAAGTATATTTTCACCGATCCGAATTTAACCCGTGTTCTCATCTTCCATGGACTGGCTCCCTATCAATATCGACTTGTCGTGAGTGATATTCATACTTCATGATCAACAATCAATGTTTTCTATAGTTCTTTCGAATGATCCTTGTAAAATATTGGTTGAATATTTCTTAGGGACCAAACAGTTGGTCAGATGCACGCAAAACACTGATGACTATGGATGAACGAGTATTTGAGGCAACAAGAACGAGGCGAACAAAGGAAACACTCGAATCGAAACCATTCAATAAGTGTGTACAATTTGTATCGAGTTTGTTTTAAGCAAATTTCGATAGTATTTTTCCTTGTGAATCTGATATATTCATGCTGAATTAAGCAATTAAAAACTTATTTGGACAAATGTAAACTGATCGTTTGGAAGTGTTAACTGTGAGACAGGAGTGCAAGCGGAACCTTTTAAGACAATTCGTTCATTGTGTTCGATAAATCGTTACCGAATAACACGAATAAAATTATAATGGAACGCATGAAAATAGTAAAATTCCATAACCATACAGTTAAGAGAGCAAACGAAAATTGCTGCACCAAACTTGCGATGCAAATGAATTCACCAGTAGTGCAATAGCCTCGTTCTGGGCATCTCCGTGTTAGATATCATCAGATGGCTAAAATCCATATTAAGATGACCCAAATAGCATAGCTTCATAATATTTCATCCTACACTCTATTCATTGTTCAGTCAGGTGCAAACAATAAATAGAAACTCTCAAGCATTCAATACTGCCAACTCTCTTCCCATCTGAAAGTACTATTCACCTCGACCATTTAAAGGCACAATTTCATTCGGTCTAAACCCTGCCATCAATTTAATTGCTGCATATTACATTACTNACATTACTGCGTGATTCTGCTCGAGAGCATTTCCATGGCTCGAAGGCACAAGTGAAGCATAGTGCAATCTTTGCTTCCAGATAGATGCGGTGTAAATGTACGATTGAGAAAGTAGTCAGTAGGACAAAAGCAACGAATCTATCTACTTTATATCTACCTTTAGTAATTCTTAACGATAAGAGAGAATTATGTGTTTGAATGCAGGTGAATGATTCCTGCACAACAGAAAGATTTGCTCGTTAATGTGTAACTTTAACTGCAACAGAATCAAGTTTTGACTTGAAGTGTTGAATGATGGTGGCTTCATGAAAATGTCATTTTGACGTAACGTTTTCAGTTTCTGTGTAACAATGATCATGGTCAGTTACGTCCTGTCTATGTAACAATGATCCGTCTCTCTCCTTCAAATTTTGCGATGTTTTGCATTGAGTGTCACCAAACGTTCAACGTGATCTTTCAAAGATTGCAATGCGAATTTTATGTGATCGCCTGATTGCTTTTCCTAAAAAGAATAAATTTTATAAGAAAAAAGCTGATTTAAATACTTCACATCGGAATTATTTAATGCCCACTGGGCACTGTTTCTCACCTGCGGATGATCACACTTCCAAGGGGTATTCCAGGGATGTGAGATATGATTTTATTCTTTATACGTCAAAGAGGGGAGAGTGTATTTCAACGCATACACATGTATGGACTCTAACAAGCCAAGATGAACTCTAACGTATACATTTTTGGAAACTCTGGTTCACACTCACTTATACTGTAAACACTTACTGTAGTGGATGAGAGATAAAGAGCGGATATGGTGAGGAGTGCAAGGACATTTTTAGTATTGTTGTAGGGGTGCGAGGACATGTTGAAGCACGGGAAAGGAATGAGGTTGAAAAGCACTGCCACTGAGCGTCATCATTTCATGGCGGTTAAACTGTGCGCAATTAAATATGATTTTAATGAGTTCCTCCATGGAACACCACCAGACTGTGCACTCACTGGATGAGCGTACAATATAAATCCTTTCGGAATGGTTCGTCTCGTATTGCTTGTCATCACATCTTCAGTGCTGTTCCCTGCAGCCACTGGCTCACACCTCTTTTGTGCCCGTGGATCAAGATTAATATTCGTTTGGCTCTGATTATCTTAATCGCATCAGTTCCGTAAGTGCATAAACTGTTCCTATTTCTAGTTTATGAATGATCAATTTTTGTTCAAAAACTGGCAATAATTCGCAGAAAATTAGCAAGCTGTTGAAATTTGCGTTTTATTTGAGAAGATAACCGGAAACATTGAATACTTTGTTCATTCGGACATGAACGGGAGAGAACTGACAGAGTTGATGCTTGTAGGAGTTGACGAGTGAGTTAATGCTTCAGTTAATTGTTCTTATTCGACACAATTAATCAGCGTTCCAAAAGCAGGACAATCCTAACCGCATGGCGCATAGAGACTCTGCGGAAATTAACTGAACATAATTCAGTCTCATCCGTTTGGGCTGGGCTCAGGCTTTGTCATGGACCTATGCTTTGGTTTGCAACGATGCGCGTGCTTATGCCAGGCTCACACTTATCGTTAGATTGAAAGTAAACTGAATTAATTGGAGCGATTTTTATGCGGTCCTTGTTGTGCTTCTTTCACTATACCTTGCCAATAAAAGAATAATTCGGCCATAATGTGCCTAGGCGAGAGCGATTAACGGATTGTACTTCGCATCTGCTATGTGACTTAATCAAAAACTTGCGGTGCTATTTTCGTTTTGCAGTACATCTGAGCGCTTCTTTGGTGTCAAC